CAAAAGATTTTTTTTTTTTGAGAAGTTTTTGCTATAGGGTGCGTGCGCCCACCAGAAAGACAGAGAGAGACAGAGAGACAGAAAGCGAGAAATTACCGCCCCCCAGGGGTGATTGCCACACCACAATCCCTTCTCCCCCATTCTCCTCTTGGGATCTTGGGCACACACGCAAACGTGCCGCTTTAAGCTACTGGGTCCGGGACTCAAACCGTGGTTGACTACATGGGAGCCCAGCGACATAACCTTTACACTAACTGCTGGTCCCCCAAAAAAATACTTTTTAAAAGTTTCTTTCTTTCATGATAGTGAGAGACAACGAGAGACAGGGAGTGAGAGAGAGAACGGGGTCTCATACAGAGATACCCGCCACCAGCCTTCTCAGTTGCCCAGGATCATGAGCACGCCCGCTGTGCACTTGTCCACCAGCAAACCAACCCCTGGCTCTTCCACATGGACCCAGCTTCACTCGAGCAGTGTGTTACCACTGTGCCACTGAGCCAGCTCTACAAGATATTTTTCAGAAGAAATGCTGGGGCCAGCGGTGGTTAAGGCAGCTGGATCCCACATGGCCCATCATGTGGTTTGAGTCCCAGACCCAGTGGCTTAGAAAACATGCTGGGTGCTTGTGTGTGTGTTTAAAATTCCCAAAGGAGGGAGAAAGGGAGAAGGGACTGCAGAGTGACCATTCCCCTTGGGGGTGGGGGTGCTCTCTCCCTTTCTCCCGCTCTGTCTTTTTCTGGTGAGTGCACATGCCCTCTAGCAAAATTAAAAACAAAACAAACAGATAGGCTAGGCATCCTGTAATATAATTCACCCATTCCTTGCCCTTGAGAAATGAAGCAATGAACTGCTTTAAGGAGGCTGGCGAGGAGATGGGTGATTAAGGTTCTCACAAGGTCAGCCATCAGGGTCGCCGTGTACTCACTCTGAGAAGCATATTTTTCATGGTAAATCTCATAGGCTTTTCTGTGGGCATCAGTGAGGGTCTGGAGACGTGAAGCTCTTGATTCCTGGTGCGGAAGCTCCATTATCACTTCCTTCAAGTTACTGAAAGTGAACCAGATCCCAACTAGATCCCCAAAGGAGTGGAAGGCAAACGTGGCATAATCAGCAAAGAGGTCAACAAAGGCTCCGCGTGTCTGGATGGTGCTGGCGGGGAGGGCCTGGTGGTGCAGGACAACCATGGGCTGAAGCTGCGCAGCCCTGAGGGCCTCAAGCAGTCTCCGATAGCACTGCACGGTCTTCTTGTCTGGATTCTTGGAGCTTCCATCTGGGAGAAGTTGTGTCCACGACAGAAATACTTTATAATGGGTGATCTTATTAGCATGAAGACTGCCAAAGTACTCTGGCAGGAAAATAGGCAGTGGCTCCTGACAAACATAAATGTCCTTGTATCCTGCTAGGAAATTAGAACTCTGGTTTCGACCACTAAGGTTATACAGTAAGTCTTCGGTTAGAGGACCAGCAGCTGAAATGAAATTTTTATCATATTCCAGGTCTAAACCCCAGCATAAAAAACTTAGGAGGACAACAAAGAAGACCTTCCAAGACAGCTCCATTTTCCAAGAACTGTGAGGAGGAATGTGGAAAGGAATCCTTTATAGAGACAGTGAGGTTGTAAAATACTGATTATTAACACTTAATATTTAACTAGGTTATCTATGATAATGAAATCTGTACATGGTTTAAAGAGTATAAGAAATGAGAGGGCCGGCAGGTGGCATGGTGATTAAAGGCACTGGACTCCCACATGGCTGACTGCGGTTTGAGTCCTGGAACTGGCAGCTTGCTTTCTTACTCCCCCACCCCTCAGCTTTCACTCTCACTCTGTCCCTCTGTGGTCTAATTAAAATAAATAAATGAGTAAATGAAGTTAAATAATGATAAAAAAAAAAGAGTATAAGAAATGACATGAAAACCTCAAAATTCGGGACCAGCAGTTAGCGTAATGGCTATATCGCTGGACTCCCACGTAGTCGACTGCGGTTCGCGTCCCGGACCCGGTGACTTAAAACTCATGCCGGGTGCATCTGCGTGCCTGCCCAAGATCCCGAGAGAAGAATGGAGGAGAAGGGATTGCGGCATGGCCATTCCCCCTGGGGGGTGATTTCTCACTTTCTGTCTCTCTGTCTCTGTCTGGGAGCACACGCGCCCTATAGTGAAAACCTCTCAGAAAAAAAAAAAAAAAAAAAAAAAAAAACCCAAAAAATTCCCAAAATTTTTTGCAGAGGAACAAAAAAAGGTTTCCCACACTTTTGTCTTTCTTACAAATTATTTGAAAATTCGTTTGCATATTTAAACAAAAATAAGTCCCTCATCAGACTTGGTTCCTCTTCAAAAATATGTAAGTAAAAGGTGGACACATTTTATAGAAGATTCAAACAGTACAGAGACACCTATGAAAAACTTGCAAATTCCCCTTGGCCCACTCCCTTCCCTTTCTTAGGGTAAGCACTTTCAAAATGTCCTTCCGGTTTTCATCCTCTGTGCAATTCATTCTCTGTATATTCTGTACGAATTTTCTACATCTGTGTAGCACTTTCTGCTTTCTAACAGGACAGGCTTTTCCTACCATTCTTTTTGCTAGAATTTTCTTGCCACTCTTTACACTTTTTTCCCTGTAAGTGTCTAGGGATATTTCCACTTCAGCACATCTAGATCATTGTTGTTTGTGTGTATGCCACAACATAGCTATGTCACAACTTACATAATAATTTCTGTATTGATAGACACGTTAAGATTTGGTTGAAAATGCACTGAATTTATAGATCAGTTGACAACTTACAAATTCTCCCATTCCAGAATGTTATGTCCATCAACCTATCTTTTTTTAAATTTTGCTATAGGGTGTGTGCACCTGCTAGAGAGAGAGAAAGAGAGGAGAGTGAGAGACAGAGAGAGAGAGAGAGGAAGAGAGAGAAAGTAATCACACACACACACACCCGGGGCGAATGGTCAGGCCACAATTCCTTTTCCTCTATTCTCTTTTCAGGATTTTGGGCATGCAGGCACACACCCAGCGTGTTTTTAAAGTCCCTGGGTCTGGGATTCAAACGACACAGTAAGCCATATGGGATCCAGCCACCTTAATCTCCATGCCACCTGGAGGTTTCTTATCTTTTAAAAAATTTGTTTTTACTGTTTCTTATTTACATTTAATTGTTGAGTATCTTTGTGGGGTACAATATGGTTTTTCAAAGGATGTATGGAGCGTATGATAATCGAATCAAGACTATTACTATATTAATCATTTTCTTCCTTTTTTATTCTTTTTAAATTTTCTTCTATATTATTATTATTATTTTTTTTTTTT